TTATTTTTGTATCATTTTTTATAACTTTTTAAAAATCATCAAATTTATTGAAGTCTTTAAGTGTCGCGCACTGTAGGAAGATTACTATTGTTATCTAAGTAATTTTACTAAGCAAGTAATTCAATGATTCAGAATTAAATTATTTCTCTAATTGACTATTTATAATTATAATAAAAATTGTTTTTAGAAATTGGTAAATTAAATTAAATATATCATATATTAATGATATGATAAAGAAAATAAAATAATAATAATATCATGCAAATTTTATAATTTGCATAAAAATTTTTAGCTGTCAAAAATCTTTACTATAGTTAAAAAGTATTTAACTTTATTAATTAATAAAATTATTAAAATATATTTTAAAAAAATAAATGAAAAAAAAGTAAAGTAATGCTAAATAATATTTATCCAATTGCTTTAAATTATTTGAATTCTACTATTTTAATATTATTAAAAAACTGCAGTTAATTATTATGTCAAGTTTATATTTGTTTTATAATATGAATAAATGTTGCCTATTAATTATAAGTAATTTTTATAATTTAATTGAATTTATTTCAATGGTAAATTACATATCATTATCATCAGTATATAACTTTTTTTACTATAAATGATTTCAAAAAATAATTTTGAGTTTCATTTTATAAATTTTAAATTTAGTTATATAATATGAAAGTTAATTTTAGTTAACAGATCTTTCCAAGTTTCAATTTCACACCCGGACGTTCAAGTTAATATTTACTGTTCCCACGTTAATTAAAGGGGATTTAGAACCAAAATTTTTTCCTAAATAGTCTCTTAGCATATGCACAGCATACATTATGAAGTAGATCACAATAAAACCGATAAACAATCCCAGGTACCACCAAAATGATTTTAAGCCTTTCGTCACATCCAAAAATTCGTATACCCATTTCGAGTGCCTGTAAAATTTCATCAAGGCAATTTAGAATTGGGACGAGGAAAAAGAAAAAAAGCAAGGACGAGAACTATAACTTAAAATCACGTACTCGGCATAGTATATGTTAACAACACCCAAGTATAAAATTTCTAAAATGAGATTTAAAATGACAAACGAAACAACCATAATTTGACGATTTAAAAAGACTTCAACTATCGCAAAAAGGAAGTTCAATGCATGTATCGATATATTTAACCACCAATTATACGGTTGGGGATTTGTTTTAACAAAGTAGTCTGAGAAAAATATCCAATACGTTAAGATTATTATCGTTCTAATATGAAATGAATTGTTAGAAAAGAAATTTTATGAAAAGAATAATTTTTAAATTTTTTACTAACGTGAAATGGGCTAGTGTATGATATAGTAACCAAAATAGCCAATTAAATAATTTATGCTGAGGAATTTTATTCTTCCTCACATATCCGTAAGAATGACAAAACGCTGTCAGCTTATAATATATGTTTAAATTTCTAGAAATTAATTTCCGTGCGCGTTTAAATCAAAAAAGCTTTCATGCGTTTAAGAATACTCACCGTAAAATAAGCCACTAAACCAATATAACTGAAGTGAGTAAAATACGTTAAATAAGATATCGCATCATAATTCATTGCATAATTCACAGTTTTTCCAATCAACACAATCCAAGAATACAAGCAAATAATTCCTCTAATGATTAATAATGATTTTGGTGATATAAACCACGATGTTACGGATTTTTTCGCATCAAAATCATTATAATGAAAGAAATTTTTGAGTTTTGTTAATTTGTTATTTAATTTTTTTCCCATTTTTAATCGATATTTTTTTTACTTTAACAAACTTTTGTTTTTTTTTAAAGAAGGTAATGGGAGTTATGAAAGATGCAAAAAAAAAAATTTTTTTTTTGATTTTATTGTAAATGAAAATGACAAGATCCTTAAATACATATTTTGATTCGGAATTTTTGAAGTTCACATATGGTATCATAATAAATTACCATTTTTATCACCTTTTTTTGATCTACTGATGATCAATCGTCGATCATAAATTAATCAAAATCGAATTAGCGACTTTTTTAATTAAATATTTTAATTTATTAAAGTTAATATTAAGTTCTATTTTAATAAAAATTTTATCATCTAAATTAATTAAATTATAAATCGATCGACAAGTGTAACCCACCCAATTTTTGGTCATACCATGCACACATACGAACCTCTTCCCAAGTACTAGTAAAAACTTTAATTTATTAAGCGTTAAAATGACTTCTTCAAAGCAAGGAAGGCACTTAGGACAACCTTAAAAAAATAGAAAAGATTGGAGATGTCAAACGTAAAAGTGGTAGTGGACGCAATAAAAAATAACACCAAGGGAGTTGGACAATATATTCGAAGGGAACCCTAAATTTCTGCTGGGTCTGTTGCCACTAAATTAGAAGATATGGGAATAAATGTCTACCGCTCAACAGTTTCAAGTCTTGGGTATCGAAATGCACCCCTTTTGCACCTCAGCCCATAAGCAAAAACGTATCGAATTGGCCCTATTTAGTGACGAAACAGCCTTCCAATAATACCGTAATACAATAAAGCATTGGTATAAAAAGCAACGGCCAATTCGTACAATGCCAAAGGACCGTAGTAAAAACTTTGCCTGGGGTGATGTTTGTGTAAAGGGTACACCAGTCTTTTTCGTTTAGGCGTATTATGGATGGGAAATTCTACACGGCGATATTAGAAAAACATATCCCAGCAGGACAATGATCCTAAGCATACTACTAGTAAGGTTGCTAAGGATTTTCTTGCTAAAAAGTCCCGGAGCCCTCTATTAGTCCGGACCTAAATCCCATTGAAAACTTTGGAGTGTTTTTTTGGGGAGGAATGGGAAATTCCAGATAGCCTTCTAATTATTCTTGTAAACTCAATGCCACAGCGTTGTAAGTTATCGAAAAAAATTTGGTGAAAGAATGTCATACTAAATTTTTAATTAAACATACTGTTTATTGGCTTTAAAGATGCATTATACACTTTAATTGGTGTAACCGTTATTGAATAAACGTGAATTTTGCAAAATTTTAATTTTATAAATCTTTTACCAAATCTCACTTGATTGATGATAATGAAATCTAATTCGTTTTACAAAATGTCTAATCATAATAAAATTTAAAAAAAAAAGAATTTTTCAAACAATCGAGGAAAAACTAATTATCCACCCTAACAATTATTAGAGATCACAGATACGTGATAAGAAAAAAAAGTTCGCCGCGTCACTCTGATTGGGTTATCTTTAATTTTAAAATACTTTTATCAACTGATAATTTATATCCTTCTTTTTTCGTTCAAAATGTCAATTTCTTTCAGAATCTTTTGAAAAGGAGGAAACGATTGTCGCGAATTATGCTACCGTTTCAGAGATCGTTTTAATGACTATAACAATAATCCTACTTAATTTTTGATCGACGGCCATCATTTCTTTTATATATTTTATAATTGCCAGCATTATAAGGTTTGAATTGCATTTTAAAAAAAATGAAATTAAAATAAAGTTGTTCATAAAAAAAAAAAAAAAAAAAAAAAAAGAAATTCTCCGCATTTTTAACAAGGCTAATCTAATGGAGAATTTAAAAGTATTGGGGACTGTTGATATCTTGCTGCGGTGATGCATTATGTGAATGTGGGGTAAGTTCAAATAAATCACCATGAATGAGCATATACGGAAGAGCGTCATTATGAATATTTTCAACTTGATACGGAAAATAATTCATAAATTCAAAAGAGTTAACTTCGTCATTTCCGTCATAGATTTGATTCGTATCTCCGACATTTCCATCAGCATTAGATCTCATTTCTTCAGTAGGGGAACATTCATCATTTCCATAAAAGATTTGGTTTGTGGTTTCATCAAAATTTGATCTCATTTCATCTTCGGTAATATATGATGATGAATCATTTTCAAAATAGTCATCACCTTCAGAGAATTCACTATCTCCGTCATAAGTTTGGCTCATATTTTCATCATAATTTGATCTCATTTCATCTTCAGTATTAAAAGATGATGAGTCATCTTCAAAACAGTCAGAGCATTCACTATCTCCTTCATAAGTTTGACTCATATTTTCATCATAATTTGATCTCGTTCCATAAAAGCGTGATGGTAGAATTTCCTTGAGTTCATTTTCAAGATTCTCCTTTTGATTCATAGATAATGAATTATTATTTCGTTTTACGTTTTCTACATCAATTCTTATGCCATAAACTAAATTATTTAATACATCGGTGGTTAAAAGTTGTGAATAAAATTTACAGGTAACGAAATAATTTGCTCCAAAATTTAGGTAAAAAAAATAATGATCGAAATCATTCGAGGGAGTAAAATCTTTTGAAATCAATTGACACGTTATATGATAAATCTTAAGTTTTGATGTATGAAAAAATTTAAGTTCCCGTTGTTGAATTTGGCTTGACATAAGGTATTTATTTCAAAGTTAATGTATTTTTGGAGTTTTATTTGAAAATTTATTATAAAATTTTTGATTGTATTAAAATTATTTTTGAGGTATTTATAAATATTTCGGTTTAATCTAAAGAAATTTTTATTTATATTGCTTTATTATAACGCTATTTTCATAAATACTCCATGTAGATCTCTCCGTTTTCTTCGAGAGGGGAATTCTTTTTTTTTTTTTTTTTGTGGTTTGGGAATACAAAAAATAATAAACTGTGATACATCTCACACTTTCGGTATAATAAAAAAATTTTTTTTTATATATATAAAATTTTTTTTTTATAAAATTTATTCAGTGGTCACTTTTGACGGGGACTTTTGACAGGGGTGTGTATAAAACGAAAAAAAAAATTTTTTTCTTTTTTTTTATTTTAGATATGCTCAATTGAGTTGCTAAATAGAGGTTTTGGTTTTTTGATCTCTTAATGATGATAAAAATAATTAAAGAAAGGATTAACTCCATGGGTTTTCAAATTTTTATCATCAATATTATCTGCAATTTTATGAAAGCTTGATATTTTAAGATTGTTGAAATATGTCGTCATAGAATAACCTTCCATATTAAATAATATTTCTGGTTTTGGTATGGTGTATTGAAGAAATGTGGTGTTACGAAAACATGGATGTATGTTCACCAGAATGATTTTTAGGGTCTGTAGATAACAGCAGGTACGAAAAAGATTTAGCACCTCGCCTGTAGGAACTTGTATAAATAAAATTAAAAAATCATACTCTAAAAAAAAAAAAAAGTTGAAATTTGGGGTATATTTTTTTTATCGGCATTTGTATTAACAACACTTGTGTTTACCAACCAGCCATAAATTGATCATCACCTATTGGTTTATTGTGTAAAAAGTTTTTCTTCTTATGCACATATATGTAACACATCCTTATGCCTACGTTCATTCATTGAGTGATACATACGTATTACTTATCACTTTTATATTGTGTATATAGACTAGGTAACGGGAACCGTTGTAATGTCCGAAGCGTTAATCTATAATGTTTAAATGTATCACAGAAAACAACTCGGATTTTTATTATTTAATTTAAAGGGAACCACATCTGGAATAAGAACGATACATTTGCCCTCCGATCAACCAATAAGATGCATTGTTATATTGTCACATGATCTTATTTATGCACCATGTAGATTCCGGTAAAAAAAAAATATTAATTAAAATATATGATCGGCATAGTGCAGATTTGATATTATCGTACATGTATAAGAAACGATACATTCGGAATAATCGGTATTCTCCAAAAAATATGGTCGCACCTAACCACACGTATTATCACTTGAAGATGGTGTTAACCCTTCACAAGCTTCAACGATTAAATTACTAACTATTGATTCATTTCATGATTCACAATCCAAAGATGAAGAAGAATTGGCTCGCATTCAAGCTGAAGAAGAGATCGAAAAGGCTCGAAGGGTGAGTTGACCAATCTTTCTTTTTCAAAAGATTTTTATATTTATTTGGATTTATATTTTTAGGGGCTGAAGAGGCAAAGGCTAGAGAGCGTGAAAAAAGACAGCTCTTAAAGATTTGGCCTCAAAACAAGTTGAAAAGGCCGCAAAGAAACGCAAGAAAGTTATTTAAAGCTTGAATATATACATATATATTTTTTTTGTAGATATAACTTTGAAATTTAATGTTAATAGTTTTTAATTTTGTAAATGTATATAAAAGAACAAATTATTAAATAATATAGAAATAATTTTTCTTTTAGACCCAATTTAAATAAAGTTATTGGTCCTTATATCTAACAGGTGGGTTTAAAATCCTTACAGCATCTTTAGAAAATGTGTAGCTTAATCCAGTCCAAATTGTTGTTGCGGCAACAGTATATCTAAATTTTATCAAAATAAATGATGGCCTTAATAAAGTGACCAACAATAAAATTAACTATATCAATATTATACTTACTGTAATGCTATTAAAGCTTGAGCATCCGTCCATCCAAAAACCG